GGAAAAACCAAATGAAAGATGGCAGAGATGAAATGCCAATGCAATTTGGGTTAACAATATTTCGTTTGTTTTTTTTTCATCGGCTATCTGAGTTTATTTCGGAAATAAGATTAACAGAAAATGAGGGAAATCAAGTAAAGACCTATTAAAGATAAGTTTTCTATCACTATGCCAGCTAAATCTTATCAATTGTTGGCTAATCTTTTCTGGATTAGACTTAAGTGAGTCTGCAAAATTCATTCACAAGAGAAGGGTTCTTTCAGTTATTTTTGAGTAATAATTCTTCTTGTTATGAAATTGAAGTTTTTATCAATTTGATTAGAAGGAATTTTTTAAGTTACAATTTCTATCAATTTCGAAAAGTCACAGCTGCCGCCGCTTGCCTTAAAACGAAAAACTTAGCGTCTGAATTTTTAAAAAACGCCGACGGCAATGCAAATTATTCAGGTTGTTGAGAGGAAGACTGAGACGGCTAGAATACCTGTTTTCCTAACTCGTTTTCCATTTTTCAGGGCCACCCCGAAGGGTTTCCCATAACCTATGCAAATTTCATATTCCGCCATAATTTTCTACCATTATTATTTTATGAAAAAAACTGGCTCACCTGCCTCAAGAATTGGCCAAATGAATCCATCAGACAGACCTTTAATAAGAGGGACACGCCCCTCCAACCAGCCGGCATTTGGCCGCCCACACGATTCGCCCCCTCGTTTTTCCACCCATTTTTGCAACTTTTTCCCCTTCGTTCATTTGGCGCGTTCAACCAATTGGAAAATTTACACGTGCAAAATGTTGAAAAATTGTTGCGGTTTATGTATTTTATTTTAAAATACTTTTTTCACTGCCGTTGTCGCTGCAGTCGCCTGAAATTGTTGGGCATAAAAATTGAGAAAAGCCAGCGTAAATTTCCACACGGCAACAATTTCACTTTAAAGCTTCAAGTGACACCATATACAAATGTACAGATACGTATATATTTTTTTATGTTATTTAAATGTGTTCACATTGTTGTTGGTGTTGTGGCTTTTTGTAATATTTTTAATTTCGCCCAGGCAGCGACATAAATCATTTTGTCGCGCATTGCAAAAATTCCAAAAGAGCAAAGCGAAAAAATTACAAAAATTTTTAAATTAGCTCGCATGGGAAATGCTTGTGTGTGGGGTGTTGGCAAAGTGGGTGGCGGGGGGTCTGAGCGGAATTAAATTTTCATATGAAAAACTCAGAGATAACAAACACAACAACAACAACAACAGCGCCGAAAGGAAGGGGAACAAAGCCAAATAGTAGAAAATTGGAAAGATGAAGTTGCCTGAGATAGCAGGACAAAGGGAGGTGGTGGGGGGCGGCGAAAGGGGGGCTGCTGACGAAAAAAGCAATTTTCAATTTTTCTACACAAAAATGCCAAACATTCGGGGGGAGCTGAGAAAAGGAGAGGTCGGGCGAAGAAAAAGGGGGCCGAAGGGAGCTTGTGCTAAAAACTTTGACGACAGCCAAGCAGGGTGGAAGGGGCGAGGGGGCGGTGCGGCCGAAGGGGGCGGGGCAGCGTTGGCGTTTGCGCCTTGCAGTCGCTGGCAAGTGATAAATCATTTCAACTGTCACTTTCGAAACACAATTTTATCTAAACACAGACACACACACATAGACCCCCACACAAACAGCAAGCGACAGACACAAATGCACAGCGAAGAAATTCTAAAGAAGTTCTTTTTAATGGTAACTGTTATAAACTATCATAACATTTAGTAATTAAAAAAAAGATTTCTTTGATTCTTCATTTCTTATTTATAGTTTACAAAGCGCCATTCAATGATTTCAATATTTATAAATATCCTGATACTCTTGATCTTGCCTACTTTCTCTCACTGCACTGAACGGAATTGAAGAGACTTTGGCATTGGGGTGAAGTGAACTCTATGGAAAATGGAAAATTCGTTTCGTTGCGTCTGTTGTTTTTCTTTTTTCGGCTTTTGCCGGGCGGTCGGGGAAATACTTTTGGAGGAAAGTGGGTGGGGGATAATGGGTGTTAGTTATAATGTGTGCCAGTGTGTGTGAGGAGTGCACGGGTGATAAGGCAAATGCATTTCGTAGCTCTGGGGCATCTAATCAATGCCTAAGCGCCATTTATCAGGCCCATGGGCACTTCACAAAGTCCGGGGAAATTGGGGGGAAGTCGGGTAGGAAAGTGGGGAGAAGAATACACTTAGCTAGAGGCTGAAAAGCGAATGGGGTCGCCACCGAAATAGTGCCACTAAAAATAGAAAATCGTTCGTTGCGTTTTACCGACAAAAGACCAAAAAACAAATCAAGCAAAGCAACAAAGAAAATTAAAAATAAATTTAAAGTGAAGAAAATAACAATAAAGAGCCAAGCACACTTTAAAATCATTCAAAATACAAGAAACTACTAAAAATAAATTTGTACAACCGAAAAAAAGATAAGATTTAAAATAAATTTTACGAACAATTTGGTCAAGAAACCAAGAAAAAAAAAACATAATTGGAAAAAACATTTCGAAACATTTAAACAAGAAGACATTAAAATCAAATCGGCCACGACAAGCAAAAATAAAGAACAGAAAACAAAATAGAACAGCCGCAAACCAGCAAGATAATTTAAAATACATTTTTGAACCAAGTTGAACACATAGTGCCAATATAATTTAAAATACATTTTGAGGCAAGCGCACCATAAATGTTTTAGCACATTCTCGGAATCGAGAGTTGTGACATTTAAAAGCCCCATAAACAAAGAAATCTGAAAAACATTTTGGTTAAAAATTATTTTTTATTTTGTGGCATTTTTCAAGCTTTTTTGTCTTGCCCGTTAAAGCGTAGCGAATTCGCTTTGTTCGCTTTATTGATTTAACATTGCATTAGGTAATAGAAAAAAAGAGCAGAGGGACTCGACTCCAAAAATCGAATTAGTCAAGTCACAAAAATCGAAAATCATTAACTTGGCACAAAAACAAAACAAAAATAACAAAAACAACTCAATTCGCCCCATTCGCCGCACTTGAGTGTCTTCACTAGCTTTGTCCCGCTCTGACGCGCTAAGCGAGAAGAGAGCGGCTGCGAGGCAAATGGCGCTGCCTTCTTACGATATTTAAGCAGCTAACTTACGGTACGATAATCTCCCGTCAGGGGAAATATACGCGGCCATCAAAAGAGCGAGAGAGCTTGACTGAATGCAAGTGTGTGTGCGTGTGTTTGAGAGAGCGAAATTTAGCAGACTGTTTGGCTCTGTCTCTTTGTGTTTTTGTTGTGTTTTGTTTTGCTTCGGCTTTTTATTTTATTTTCTTACAATAAAAACGACAATAAAATTTTTTAGTGCAAAGATTTATGTGCGAACAATTTTTTTCGGCTGCTCATTGAAGCTGTTGTTGGTGTTGTTACCACCAAGAAATCTCTATTAATTTTATTACTGATTTGGGTGGACTGAGTACAAAAATATTAACTGAAAAGTGGCACTTTTGATCGAATCAGATTTTATTTCCCCAGTTTTCAAGTACTTTTTGAAAATAAGTAATAACTAATATTTTCATAAAAAATATCATATTCAATTAATCAACACAAGAAACAAAATAATAAACTATTTGCCAAAGTCTTTATTCTTAAACAAATCGTTAAAAAAAAACATTAAAATTGTTGACCAATTAAAGAGATATTTTCCACAGCTTGTTATTTCTGCGGAATTTATTTCCAAGCGTATTATGTTACATTTTAATTGGACAGGTGCAGTTTCGGTGGCAATTTAATATTCCATTTCGAGAGACAAAGGCGACTTGCATTCGTTTGCCCAAAAGGGGCGTGGCACCTGGGCGGTGGTGGGAGGTGGTGGCTCTCGTAAGGTGGGTGGGTGCAAGGTTGGGCATCAGCACCACCCCATAAACACCCCACAAAAGCGTTCATAAAACGTGCCCATTTACTACCAAGAAAATTGCCCATTAAGAAGAAAACGAAGCGTAGTCTGGCCCCCGACTTTTCCTCCTCGTCTTCTGACCAGAATAGAAGGAACGAACAACAACAACGACAAGAGAAAAAAAGAAGAAAATTTAAATAAAGGTGCGTTGGTTGTCTGCCCCCGTCGTTGAGCTCAAGAAAGTGCTTAAAAAAATAATAGAAATTGCCCGGGAGATTGGCCGAGGGTTGCTGTTCCTGCTGTTGTTGTTGTTGTTGTTCTTCCGCCGGTCACGCCCCTCCACTTGCCGCCCTTTTCACGATTTTTTTCACCCGCCTTCATTGTGCTTTAAAGCCAATAAACCAAATTATTATTAGCGCCATTTTCATTCCGCGTTGGCCCTGCTTTTCCTTGCACTACGTATTTCATTTAAAGTTTTATAAGCTTAAAGTGTCCATTGAGGTTCTTATGTTTATATTTTGTGGCCCATTCGTTTTTGTTTTTGTTGAGGGTTCTTCGAAACGACCTTTTCATTCAGAGATTCGGAGATTATTGGGGAATTTCAGGTGGGGGACGTCGCACCTGTCACTCCACGAATTTTGACGAAAGCCCAAAGACAACTATCTGTGAACCTTGCACAGATATCATGCGAGATATATGCGTTGGCTTAACATATTCAGCGTGCTGTCAATATCGGTTGAAAAGCATTAAGTTGACAAGTGTTGCGAATTGTGTCAGTCAGTCGGTGGCTTAGAGTGGCTCAAGATCTTAATACTGCTGCTGATGCCTTAACTGGAAATGAGTTTCACTTCGTTTGCCGAAAGGCTTAGGAACGTGGAAAATTGAATTAATAATTATACGTGGTTTTCCCGTCATGATAACTAAGTTGCGGAGCGATAAATTACCGATGGTCTGGCAAAGTTATTCAAACAATGTTGCCTTCTGTTATTTAAACAATATTTAACCTAGGAATAAATGTATAAAGAGGGGATTTATTGTAGTAATTTCTTTAATATTTTCACGAACTAGTTATACATTATGTTTTAAAGAATTACTTTAATTATTAATAGATTTCTAACCATCGGCTTCTCTATTTTTTGCAGGACGATGGTGTCGAAGAGAATGGTCCTCACCTGCCGATGCTCGAAATGCAGACGCCTCCCGGCGATTGTATTCCTCAGTCTTCCTCGGTAGTCCTGGTAAGTGCACTCAACCTTTTACTTTTTCTTAACTCTGTTCCACAATTATCTGTCGGGCAAACGATAGGGCTTATCAGCGAACTTGAGCTATCACCACGAGACCAACTGACGTCAACGTTTCCATTAGATTTCAATAATTTACAACATCAATTTTTTTCCTCCTGGCCTCCGCCTTTCCGTTCGATAGTTTTTTTAGGCCTCTCGGTTGTTGGCTAGTTGGTTGGCTGGCTTTTAATTTCTGCTGGCCATCGATGAAGCTGCTTCTGCTGCTGCTGCAAAAGCGAGAGATCAAGCGGCTCAGATTGTGCCAGAGAGTTAACGTTAATGGCAAAATACTAACAATGGCTGCTGCCGAGAGTAGGTAATTTCTATAATGATATACGAACTGGCATCGCCCAACGGGCAAAGGCTCCTCCGCAGTGGAGTCCCAGTCGGAGTTTCAATCCAACACGGGGAGAAAAGGAGCTAGGGAAAATATGATGGAAAATACATGATGTTTACTAAGCCGATTTCCAAATAAATATCATAAGAAAACCTGGCATCAGATTTAGAAAAATATTTAAACATTCGTGGAACGAACAAGTTTACTTTTCTTATGAACAAGTTTACTTTTCTTATGAAAATATTTAAAAATTTCATTTCGCCAGTTTTCTTCCTCATTTCAAAATGATTTTTCCCCAGTGAACTCTTTGGGAGAGTGCGCCTGATCGGCGGCCATGGATCAGATCAGACGTCCCGCCTGCGGGCCCGAGTATCTTGAGTCTCTCCGTCTTGCCCAGACTTTCGGCATGGCCAATGCCAATGAAACGGCCATCAAAATGGCATCGACATGGCTCCGGCGAACGCCTTCGATTGTCTTCCTTCGAACGGGCAGTGGTGGGCTCTTTAGCCGGGTCCATGGACCCCGGCCAAAATGCGTGCCAATTACATGCGGCTGCAGCTTTCTTCTAATAGCAAATGCTGTAATCAAAATTCCATAACATGCCCAAAAGCCAACCTGCCCGCTCTGGCTGGCAATTCGTTAAAGTCAATTTGCAAATCATTTTTCCATTGAAACTCAATCTACGAACTACGTGAAAATACCGAAAGGCAAGACCCGCGGCACTCGGACTCCTTGCCTCTTTCTTATTTTTTTCTGTTTTTTTTCATCCTCTTGCGCCGCATCGATAATAATGATTTTCTTTGAAATGCATACTGAGAGCTCAGCCAGGCTTAAAAGAGGGCCCAGAGCCTCTGACAGACAACTTTGTGTGCTCCACCTTTTGCCCCATCCCGTTCCGCCCCTTTTCGTCCCCCCTCCCTCTCTGCCTCCCCAAAACCCCAGCCCCATTTCGATGGCTTCGAAACGTGGTGTAATAATACTAAATTGTTGCTGATTATCCTTTTGGCGGTTTGCCTTTGGACATGTTCTCCAGCCTCGGTCTTCTCGGCTTCTCTCTCTTTTTTTGCATACGCTTCGCCTGAAAATGGCGTCACAGTCACTGCACATGCAACAACACACAAAAAGCCAACAAAAATAGTGGAAAAAAGAACAACAAGTTAAGGCAGACTCCACTCCACTCCACTCCACTCGAACCTCGAGCCGCGGTGACTCTTCTTCGGAGGAGCGAAGCCCTGCTCTGCATCTCTATTTTGCTGCAGCCGATTTTGAAAGAAATCAAGCAAAAATCAAAGCCCGAGCCGCCGCAGTCTCTTCAGGTCTTCAGGTCTGGAGTATTATGGAGTGCGGAGCATGGACTCCATCTCGGTGGAGACCGCTGAAGAGGAGGCCCCGGAAAGTGAACAGAAAGCCCACTTCAATAGTCACATAAATAGACTGTGAGTCGCGCTCGAGAGTCTCGCGCAGCTCGGCTCTGGCCAAATGGAAAATCGTGTGCCTGGCTTCCTACACTCAAAAAAGTTTCTATATTGAAATAACGAACCATTGGAAACACATTTTGATCAATCAAATAACTTGCATTAAGTTCTAAATAGTATATTTACATTTAACAGTGAGCAACGTGGGTTCTTAAGACTTGAACAGAGAAAAAAACCATTCAGTGGTTATTTTATTAGTTGAAATACCATTTTAAAATCTTGTATTATTGGTTCAAAATCTTACAAGTTGTATTACACGTTTAAATCGCAACAATTTTATCTCTGTACTTCGACTTCTACTTCTATTTGTGGCTCTGCCATTTTTGAGGTTTTTCTTCGTTTTGGGTGCTTCATTTTTATGCTTCACTTGGCCGCTTTGGCTTTGTCGGCACTTGAGCTGCTCTTTCAGGCGGCTCTGGCGGCTCTTCGGAAAGTCGGCTAAAACTACAACAACAACAACAAATTCAAAAACAAGAATGGAAAAAAGGCCAAAGCGTTTTCCAGCCAACGTTCGCGGAAAGCTTTTTGTGGGGCCAGCATTTCGGTAATTACCGTTAAATGACCCAAGTCCGAGGCATAGAGACAAAGTCTTACCAACTGTCAGCTGTCAGGTCGCAAGTGGAAGGCAACAACCAAGCCAGCGACAACGAACAACCAACCAACCAACGAACCAACCAGCAACCAGACGAACAACGATGCGTTCTGCCGCCAAGTTGTCGCAGTCCTTGACAATTGTCAACTGCTTAAGGGGGAAATACAATTAGAAATTTTTTTTTTCGAAAAATTTTTTTTGGCTTAATGTACTCCAAATATATCTGGGAGTAAGCCTTTAAAAGCATAAAGCCGTCCGGTACTTATTTTCAGAGTTATACGCAATTCAGTGAGGGTGTGTCATATGGCGGACATGCACAAAAGTAAACTTTAAACGCTTCTCCTGAAAAGTCGTGTTTTCAAAGTCGCCGTGCAATGTACAGGTCAGAGATTTTATTTTAATCGAATGCGGTTTTTTGCATTATGTTTGAAATTAAATTCTTCACACCATGAATATAACGGTTTTTCATATTTGTTTGTTATAACATGTTTTTTTTACACTCAAACTAAAAAAAAAAACGTTATTTTTGAAATTTTTTTTTAACCTAAAATTTTTTAATGGAAAAATAATTTTTTTTAAATATGGTTTAATTCATGGTGTGCGCTGTACCTTTAAGTTTAAAGCCCAGTTGCTGTTTTTTGTTTAAGTCGTGATCCTGGACCTGGAGACTGCACGGCGCAAAGTCCTTCCCTAAAAACTCGACTCCACATTATTGATCATAAATGGGCTTAATTACAATATTTTTCAAAAAACTTGACTGATTTTTATTGCTCAATAATTACCCAATAACATGCAAAAAGAATCACTAAGATTCATTTAATACTCTACTTGCAATCCACTCCCAAAGATAGCCCTCATTTCAGGCCTTCTAATTGTATTTCCCCCTTAAAGCCTCAAGGCTGATTCGCCGTCTGCAAATTAATTGCGCCCAAAAGCCGAGAAGCGAGAAGCGGAGCCCGCGAAGAAGAGGAGCAGCAGCGATCTTGGCCCGGCCGAAAGGCAAACAAATTTTGCATACCAAATGCCAGCCAACAGCAGCCTGTGTGCAAAGTTTTGTCTTCGTTTTGTTTTCCTCTCCGCCGTCTGAAAAGCTGCACTTTGCATTTTAACCAGAACTTTGGCTGCGAAATCAATTAACAAACAATAAGCGTTTGTTGGCCAGGCCAGACACGTATTTTATTTAAGTATCTAGAATATTAAAATGGGATCAGACACGACACAAGTTCGTAAGGGGGTAACACAAAAATAAACGAAAAAAGAGGCAGAACAGAAAAAATTGAAGCAATGCGTTGCTGACATTCATTGAAACGTTTTCGGAATATCTGAACGATTCCCAGACGCGTTTGCTTTCTTTCTGCAGCAGCGCTGATAAATTCCCGAGTCTTTTCATTTTCGAACTGCAATGCTAAGCACTCGGGCTTAAATCCAAAAAGCCAAGCCGAAAAGCTGCACAGAAAAAAAATGGGGAGCTGCTAAATAAGTTCTTTAAAATCTTAAGTTTTACGAAATAGAAGAATACTTTTATTCTTGTTTTAAAGGCTGTTGGAAGCTATTAATATTAGTGAAACCAATTTAAATTACTTAGATATTAAGTTGAGATATTGTTAGACATATTGGTATTGTTTGATGAGCTTAGCTAATATTTTTTTTTCGGTGTACCATCAACTGCAGCGAGTGCCACCCAGCAATCGTCGACAGTCACCGCATTGCCATCAACTTAAGACGATTATTTATGAACTGCTCGGGGGGTTGGGGATCCTGCTCGGGAACCTCGCGGAGACTGGAACTTGGGAACTTGGTCTGCTGATGGCCGTTCCAGGACACTGACATCCAGCTAGCAGAGCAGAGCGAGAGCGAGAGGGAGAGCAAGTTGGCCGAAAGGAAAGGGACGGAGAACGACAACAAACCCGACACCGACAAACCGACACGGTGTACAATGTACCAATGCGTGTTCGATGACTTAAATGACAAGAAGAACGCGTCCATTGCGAGATGCCAAGGCTGCAATTGAGCTGGCCAACCTCAAAAGCCGAGTTCACAAAATACTCTTAGCCATGTCATTACAAACTGACTAAATGACACCAGTGAGATGGGAGCAAAAAGACAGTGATCAGGGGAAAAAATCAAGGGTGAGGTTAAAAAGGTAAAGCTGGATATTTTCTTTAAAGGGATTACTTTTAGTGTTGGTTTTAAGATATTTCGTTTTTGGTTCACGCTCATTGATGTTGAGATTATATAAGGAAGACTTGGTCTCAAGATTAGCAAGCCCGTTCAAAGATCTCTCACAGATTGAATATCAACCCGACAAAAGATTTGCATAAGCCCCCAGCAAAATCATAAAAAGCTTGAAAAACCATAAAGAAAACAAAACCCAATTCGGCCAACAAAAAACATGATTTGCGTGCGAAAAAGCCAAAAATAAAACTGTGAAACAAAATTATTGCCAAGCTCTAAAAAATGAGTAATAAAAGAAAATGTTGGAAGCGGAACGGGCTTCATCTTTTGTTTTCTTCGAGGCTGCATTTGATTTGCTCCAAATATTTTCGACTCACACTTGGCGCTGATTCCACAGGCTTCACATAGTTTTGATTGATTGCCACCCCTCCTATTTCTTCTGCGTGTGAATATATATTTCATATTTTATAGCCAGCGAAATCCGACGAACCAAAAAAAAAAAGCATCAACAATTTGCGGTCAGAAGTCTGCACGAAATATTTCAATATTTTTTGCTCTTGTCGGGTTTGAAATTCTGTGTTTGGGTTACGGGAAGATTTATTGTAGTTAAGTTTGGGAAATATTCGGGTTTCGGACAGGTTGTTTTTTTTTGCCCCACTAAATGCTGAACAAACAATTAACTAATTTTTGCATTTCATTTCTACTTGCAGACAACTTCGGAACGAGTGCAAGCGGTAAGCTTTCTCCCTATAATTGTATAATTATTATTGCCATTGAAGTGGGACAGCCCCGAAAATGACACGCCCCGAGATCAGAGTTCTTAGCCATACTTTGGCCAAAATGGAGAAATCGAGAGAGAGAGAGGAGTGATGCCCGGCTGCCCATCTCTGTTCCTCACTAAACTGAAAATTGTAGACTTTGAGATGCGGAATGACAGGACCCATAATTATAAACGCGCATAACCCATCATCAGTTCAGTCCTCCGTCTTCGGTCTTCAGTTTTCAGTCTTCGGTCTTTCAGGTTCAGCGTTCAGTGCTCAGTGTTCAGTTTTGTGAACAGTTTCCAGTTTCCTGATCCCTTGATTTCTGGTCCCTGGCTCTGGGGCGAAGGAACCACTAAATGCCGGGGCATATAAATTTTGTGATTAAGAGCCATCTTATCATTATTATAGAGTGAGCGCACGCTCTGTTGTTCGGGCTGCCAGTGGCCTGTGACTCTGGAGATGGAGATGGAGCTGGGAACCTGGGTGGGGATGTGAAACAAAGAGGCACAAAAAGCAATATATATATACATATATACAATATATATATATATATATTCAGAGGAGAAGAAAAAGAAATACCATACGGAGCACTCACACACGATGAGATATTTCAAAATGTAGCCGTGCGTGAGTGCGGGTCGGTTTCTCGATGTGTGTGCGCCCCTCGCAGGCATTATAGGATTTAGTTTTTGGGATTTCGATTTCTCACACAGGGAGCGGGGTCGAAAGAAATGTGTAGAACATATTGTTGCTGTTGGGTTGCGTTTCCGAAGATTTCCTGTGAAATACTTTAAGCCCAGAGCCTCCGACTCCAACTCCAACTCCAACTCCTCGCCACTCCACACCACTCCACTCCAATCCAATCCAATGCCCTGCGTTTCGGTTTCGATTTTGGTTTTGGTTTTGGTTCTCTGATTCTGTTTCTGATTCCGATTCAGAATCTGTTTCTGTTTCTGTTTCGGTTTCGGCTCTTTTTGTTTTGTGTTTTCCGTGCTCGGTGTTTTGGGTTAAACATACTTGAAATTCTTGTTTCAATTTCGGCCCCGGCGGATGGGGGCCCTCGCTTCGTAATTTAATACGCTTTCAAAATTAAGAAAAATACACACATCTACCAAATATATCGATATGGCCGGGTAGGCCCCAAAGGTCACAGCCGAAGATTCAAATTCGAAATTAGTAGGGAGAACATAAATAACGCGAACAACAAAAACCACACTCCCCGCCTTACAAGCGTGTTTTTTGTCTATTTCTTCGCTGGATTCGAGCTGGAAATATTTCATTATTATTGGACAGTTGCCGAGCGGTTCGGAGATTCATTTCATCTGATCTCCCATCGCATCTAGATTCTTTAGCCTTTTTTATTTTTAATTTATGCCGTCTGTTATTTAACTTGATTTGCATATTCTCAAGCTGGCGGGTAAAAAACAGATTGGAGTTGTTTTCTATAGTATATATTTTTCTGCTTCTCGTTTTCCGATCTAATAAACCATTTTGTTGCTAAGTACAGTGGTGGAATAATGCGAATATTTTTTGTTCGCCCTCACTAAGAGTTTTTGCACTTTGCTCCCTGTTTTCTCTTTCTTTTTGCACGCCCTCTCTCTTTCTGGCCAGACTTTTCCCCTCCAATATGGCCGACAAAGCTGCACAAAATGGGGTAACAACGTACAGAGAGAAAAAAGATTTTCACATGCAATAGGGGAGGGGGGAAAACTACAGGAAACAGCAGAAAAAATGCAAAAGAAATAACAGCAAAAGTTTCCTTGTCTTCATGTTTTCGTGACTGATGCGTTATAATTTTCAGGCTGTTAAAAAACCATTTTCTGTGTGTGTTATTAAAAAAAAGTGGAAAAGGGGAGGGGGAGGAAGCTGAATAAGAAGCAGAACATCCCCAATGTCTGGAACCGCCTTGAATTTGGCGCTCTGTCTGCGGCGCGACTGCAATTTCGATGTCAAAAAAAATCAACTGCAGACATTTAATTTTTTTCCGGCTTGTACATTATTTGGTTCGTGCGCTAAACGAAATTACACGCTTATGAATTGCTTAATATCATGTAGCAGCAAACATAGAACAAAAACGTGGGGGAAAAAAACCGAAGGTGGAATGCAAACCCAGTCACTCACCTGTGGGTCCCACATCTTAAATCTTCTCTGCCTCCTTTGAAAAGGTGTCAATGCGAGTGCATAAAGAGTAATGAATACCTGAACAGTCAAAAACAAATTAAACCCGCTGCCATTAATCTTCGGTGCCAACTCCCTTGGTGGCAGATCAACTCCGAAACTCCGGAGCTCCGGAGCTCGGTTTCAGTCGCAGTTCCTGTCTTTCGGTTTTATTCTGGGACCTGGATACGATTCACCGATCCACTCGCAAGGTGAGATGCATTTCAACATGTCTCATAAATTCGAGCGGATTGAGCGCACAGAAATCGCGTCTTGCCGCCATTTGCATACGGCTCGCAAAAAAAGGCGAACGGAGGGGTTCATAAATTTGGCAAATTTGACAATTATGCGCATTAATAATAAATAAAATTGACAATAATTGAATTTGAATAATTTGATTTTGCATATGGGGAGGAGAGCCGAAAGCCGAGAGCCGAGCGTCGACTCCATATGGCTAATCTGCATAAAAGGCGGTGCTCCGTCAGCTTTTTCCCTCTTTCTTCGTAGGCGTGAAAACATGTGTTGGCTTGGTCTGTTTCTCATTTTATTTTTTTTTACTGGCCTGGCCTGGAATTTTAATAAACTTTTTCGCCAGCCAGTTTTCAGTTTTTTTTATTGTAAGCCTATTGAATGAACTCCGTCCTTAGCCTGAGAACCGAAATCCAAAACTGAGGAGTCCAAGGCGAACCGCAAATATCCGTACGAAAATAATGAGGCATGAACATGTTGCAGCATCGCAAGACTTTTTTCCTTGCAACAATATTATTATTATTTTTATTATTATTCTCCCCCATTTTTTGTTGCTGGCCAAAAACAATGCAGCGAGCCGACAATGATGATGCTTGTTGGTTGTTGGCTGTTGGTTGTAGATGGTTGCTGGCCGGCTCAAAATATTGCAGCGGATCACACAAATCCTCCATAAAAAGCCTCCTCTCGCTCCTCATACATGTATATATAGATATATTCGTGTGTGCCTGGCAAAGCCGAAAGCTAAAGCGGCTTTTGTGTTAATACTTCAAACTGTTTTTTGTGCCTGACTGCCAGCCTGGGAACAACAAACAACAAACACGAAAAAGAAAAATCACAAAAAATGGCCACAAAAATTGCTATTGACTTTGGAGTCTGGTTTGCCATATGCCTGAGCTCTGGTAGTTGTTCTTATTGACTTGTTGCCGTTTTATGGCGTTGCGCGATTGGGTGATCCATCATCATTTTGCGGCCTCCGATAATTTGCAGTTTATTCATCTCGTTCCTTTTGGGCTCGCACATGAAAATTGCCAGGGAAATCGAACGGGCTAAATGGAAAACACTTGACAAAGGGCTTTTGAATTATAATACTTAAAAGCGCTGACGAAAAACATGGCTGTGTTTATAAGAAAATATTTATAAATTTAATCAAAGCCATAATCAAAAGTTTGTGCAAGTTGACGGGGAAGTTAAACGGAAACTAGTGGGTGAGATATACACAAATAAAAACCTGTAGAATCGGATATGTTATAATAATATTATTTGAAATATTTTCCCCCGTGCAGCCATAATACATAAATCATTGTCAGACCAATGCAAAGTCAAACTACGCTGATTATTCCATGTTTAATTAAGCCATTTGCCAGTGGCACTTAAGCCTTATTAATTTGCCGATCGTATGCATATCACTTAACTGGTCAGCTTCTAAACCGAAATGGATTGCTCATGTTTATCACAGCGCCGGGGAGATTCAATAAAGCGTTTCATAAACAATAAATGCCGGGCCATAAATCAGGCAGCTCAAGCGCGGCTCTGCGATGCTGTTGGCTAATAAGCGGGCCAACACCTCGGAGGTCCCACTTCTCGTGGGGGTCCGTCGCACTCGAGTGTTTACCGTACAGCCACCCACTTGACAGGCGCGCGGATCCACTGATGATGAGCGTGATGATGACGCCCTTTCCAGGGCTTTTGTCAGGCGCTTCTGTTTTCTGCTTTCTGTATTTTTTCTGTATTATTTCTGTGTTTTTTTCTCCCCCGTGGATCTTTTCTGGCACTGCCACTGAAGTGTCTGGCTCAAGCGCAGCTTCTTGGCCAACACTTGAGCCATGGTTTTCTCGAGTGTTTGCCAAGCTGCAGCTGACAAATGCTCGAGGGCGTGCTTTTTTCCCTCCGCTGGCTTTTTGGCCACCCAGGGCGCTGGTGCCTGATTTCTTTTGACATGTTTTGAATTCAATTAACCGGCCTAGACCGCCTCCGCCGCTGTTTATTATCATTTCGGGCCAAACTCAATTAGTTAGGCACCCTGAAAAATACTCTACGGCCGATGAGCTTAAGCAGACTTCCGCCATGTTGCTCGTTCCCATTGGAAAATGATTGACAGACGATTGGCATGGATTTGTATAAACAAACTCTCGGTTTAGAAAGGGGAAAATGGAGGGGTTGGGAGGAGGGAGGAAGAAAAGCTGAAAACTCTAGCACCACCATTGTGGAAAATGGAAAGTTTTCTTGCGCGCGGGAGCATTTGGCGTTTCTCAGTTGGTGCGGGCAAAAGTTTATTTAAAAACTAATTGAAAACTGCTACGAATCCCCCATCGTAGTCAAGTAGTTTGGAAATATTTTGCCACCGAGAGAGGGAAAAGCGTCTATTGCCCTCCTTGTCTTTCGCCATTCGCCTCTTGGCCGCTGGAAAAGCAATTTTGTTTGTTTTTCCTGCTGCAACTTGACGGGTGGAAAAGTGCATTTTGTTATTGAATTTTATGCAGCCTGTAGAGGAAAGGTATTTTTTTTGTCTCAAGTAGAACTTTGTACACATACAAATATTTCATTACAATTTTAATAGAAAAAATAGTAGTAACAGTTTCTTCTATTTAAATTGTTTTTTTGTATTTTTTTCTTTTGGTAAGATATTTTTTTATGTGCACAAAAACTAGTCTAATTGAAGTCAGAAAAGTGGAATTTATTCGTATTCTTTGAGGCTGCTGGTTCTGCAAAAATCTTAATCAATCGGACAACTTTCCGCAAGCATCTCGAAGCATTTGGGTTTTTGTCAGCTTTACTCTATAATTGCATTCTGGGGGAGGAAAGGCGGAAGGAAAAGGAAAAGCCAGCAGGAAACTAAAAATGTTTTGTATGTCCGTATAAAGGAAAAATCGCAAAATTTACTGCAAATTGGAATTTTGCGCAATTGTAGAAGGCAGCAGCAGCAGCAAAAAAAAAAAAAAAATGAGAGCAAAAAGAGCGCACCGAAAACAAACATGAAAATGTGGCAACCAAGGCAGACCAACTGTAGTTTTTTCGGAAGCTTTTTGCAATAATAACAACACACACATCGTATATATATGAAAATATATATATATGTCTGTCTGCGTTTGCGTCTTTGGCTCCTGCATCCTTCGTCCTTTAAGCCAATAATAAATAAAAATGCTGGCAAAGCTTGAGAGTGTATGTGTGTGTGTGCGGGTGTGTGGGTGTATGTGAGCCACCCACGAAAATTGCCCTGGCATCAAATTTATTTTCCCCGCCCAAGAGGCAAACTTATTGAGAATCGAGCGCTGGCCATAAAGTCCACAAAGTTATAGTGAAAATTAATTAAGTTTTGCGCTGCGCTTAACAATTCAATTAAAAGCAAAAATGCAAGCGCCTTTATCGCGTACAGCGAAAAGCACTTTGGAAAAAGCTACGAAAACGCACCGCGTCCTAATCGGTTTTCCCCCTCTCTTTCCCTTTTCCCCCCTTTTTCCTCTCGAGCAACACGAGTGCCCTTTCAAGTGGCACAAGTGCTTTTGCACATCGTTATTATAACAATAATAAGCGAGCCAGAAGATGCGGCTCTGGCCAAAGATTAATTGTGTTTGGGTCTCGACGAAAAAAAAAGTTGAAAAAAGGGGGGGAATCTCGAAAAAGTGAAGAGGAAAATGGAAATGGGAGCACACACCGCAAACCGAACTTGGAGTCGTCGGCGTAAAGTGCAATCCACTTGAAGGAATTTACATATCACCAGCAGATACCAGAAGACCGAAGACCGAAGACTGGAGACCGGAGACCGGGCAGAAGATCCAGGGAAGAGGCAGACCCATCTGCAACTTCGACTCCTGACCATGTTGCAGGCAAATGCATTAATCAATTTCATGTTTTCTTAAGCGCGCGCCCGTCGCGATTTGAGTGCCTGGTGGCCCCTCTCGGGGAAATCGAGGGGTATATTGGGGATCCCCCAGCACCCCCCTCCCCCACTCACCCTCCTGAGTGGAATAATCAATTTCGAGGATCATAAACAACTTTTAATGAAGTTGTTAAGTGCCAGCAGCTAGTTTCTTCTCTTTTCGCTCTCGGCGGCTAAAGTGCAGCTCACATTGCTCGATAAGCTCTGTGTAATGGACGCCTCCTTCTTGGCTTTCATTTGGCCAGATTCCGTTGGCCAACTCTCACACTCACACACACGCATATACTGTAGGCCAACGCATTTCCATAATTGCTAAATTATGCAAACAATGTTGGAAAGTTGGGGGCGAGGCGCTAGAAAGGTTCCAACAAGTGATTGTTTTGGGAACTTCTTTTGTTTACGTTTTTCGGATTGCTTTTTTTTCCTTCTTTCTGGTAAATTAATTTTACAACTTTTCCGGCTTGGTGTTCCGCTGATTTGGTTAGTGACTCTCTTTGGATTCACGAATTTCCCCATTTCTTTATCGCAGTCTGTAGTTTTTCCCGGGTTTTATATTGAATATTAAGTTGTAAAATTATACAAAAATCAGGGAAGAGAAGAAAGTTCTAACTTTTTAGTATACCTATCTTAATGGTGGATTATAAAATTGTGACTTTTTTATCTAGTGTCTCTGTCTAGGTCTGAAAATAAACTATACTAATTCTTCCGGCTCTCTTGGCTATTTTGGTGCTCCTCATTTGTTTCAAACCCGAGAATCTCCGTCGTTTCTTTATCTAAATTGAGGGTATAGAGTGGTCTGCCTTTTCTCACTCGAAATTGCCTAGGTTCTGTTTGGTTTCGTATTTTTTATTTGGTCTGCTGCCATCGGGTTTTGTTTTATGACCCATTTGGAAAATTCCCCCTCCCCGTTTCCACACTTTTCTGACCACTCGCCAAGCGAACGTCTCCATCGGCGACTAAATTAATCAAAACGAACTTCCGGTTTACGCAAAATGGCGTGAAGTCTGCCACCATTGAATGTGTGTTTCCATTTAGGTGTGGCCAACTATGTAGTAGTGAATGTGTGTGAAAATTAATGAATGAGTTAACTGAAAAATTAATGAAAAGCAGCCAAAGTGAAGGTGGAGCGAAAGCAAATGCCAAAGGTGTTGTGCAAAAGATAAAGCATGGAAAATTTATGAAGGAATTAAAAGGGGGCGGCGAACGAAGGCTACCAAGTTAGACATTTGGCGTTGGGCAATATTTGTTTTGGGCCCCCTAAAATCTGATGATCATCGTCGCCATCATCATCGTCATCGTCGTCGAGGAAGGAGCGTGAAATTATGCAATCCATGGTTCGAGGGGAGTTGGGTCTTCTGGTTTATTTTGTTTGCATGTGCGCAGCGATTCGGGCTTCCTGTTTGCTGGCATTTGAGTTACTTAAGTGTAACTAAAACTTTAAGTAAACACACAAATAACATACTTAATATTAAACAAAAATATACACAGTCTAGGAAGATCCACTGAGGCTGGTGATGATGAAAAGGAAAGCCAACAGGAAACGCCTGGCCGAGAGACTTTTGGGCCACCGAGGCAAACAAAAGATAAAAGCCTGGGGAGTTTAAATTAACCAAAAATTATGCAGGAACATTTGCCGAACGAACTGGGATTGGGGCTGGGGCCAAAGCAGCAGCCCTGACAAATATTAATTTTGTTTATAAACAAGTCTTGGTATACCCAGTCTACTGACCTGCAGCCACAAACAATGTCATCCATATGATTATCGTTACGAGCGAGCCGAGTAATTTTATGCCCACTTGACAAACAGCCATAAACCAGAACGGCAAACACAGAAGTCTTGTCTTTGGGGCCTTCTCATTTTCGGGGGGCCGTACTCTTTATACCCAAAGCAGTAGAAGTAGTATTAGTAGCAGAATGTAGTGTGTGGCACTGTGACAATATTGACATAGGCCTCTGAAGATTCCCCACTCACATTTTCCACCGCTTTTCCCCTGCGCTTTTCCAGGTGATGCCAGCAACGCCAGCATAGGAAGTGGAGAGGGCACCGGCGAGGAGGACGACGACGCGAGCGGCAAAAAGAACCAAAAGAAACGTGGCATTTTCCCAAAAGTAGCAACCAACATATTGAGAGCGTGGCTGTTTCAGCATTTAACGGTGAGTACCAAACAAAATAGAACAGAACACTACCTTCATTTCCACCTCCGATTTCTGGCCAATGGCTTACCGGCACGTCAGAGATGTTATCGCGATCTCGCTGGGAATCTCTGACTGGTTGGGGGCTGGCCCCTCCCCCAGAGAAACTAGGAGCCCAGCCAGCCCCACTCTGATAAGAATGTGGTCTAGCCACACTGGGGGGAAAATAGGTGTTCTCTATCAAGAATAGCAAAGAATACTATAAGTGCAATTTTATACAAACAACACATGAACCAATTAAACATTATTTCTATGTTTGGTTAAATATTTTCCATATTTTTTTTAAATATAGGTAATGTCGTAATAGTATAATGTTTTTAGGGTGATATATTTATTCTCCCAGTGCACCTATTGTTTTATTTTCGTTGTTTTTTCCAACGTGTGGCAGGTTGATAAGATTACCGCATGGGCTCCAATGAATGGCCTGCGTCAATGGGCGTCGCAGTGGGTGGGGAAAACTCAGGAGGGGAAATGAAGAGGAGGCTAAGGAGGGCGGAAGGGAAAGGAAAAGCCTGCACGATGATGTAAACGATAGCAGCCTGGGGAGGCGCCTTTGGAACCTTGATTATATGGCCATTAGGGTGGGAAATGCAAACAAGATTGTGTGCTGTACTTGATCAGACTGAAGAGTTTTCCCCTCCCACCTCCCCTTCTCCTTCAATGCCCTCTCCAAATGCCACACCCAATCGCAGTCCAGTCACTCGGCCTAAGCAGCCATTTAGCCAGTTATCCATTTGGCAATACCCTTTCGGCTCTTTTGGCCCTTTCGGCAGCTTCTTTGCCCGGTCATCGCGTCCAATTAGATTTCCATTTCGGGGCCATCAAAGAGCTCGGCTAAACGGCCTCGAAATGCGGCACTAAAAACAAATTGCCAATGGCAATAACTATTCAAAGCCCCAAACTGCAGTTCAAAGTTCCCTTTTCGGATCTTTTGAGATGCCAAACGGAAGTCCAGTCCAATCCAGCGGATGTGTAATACAAATAAACAGATTTGTTATGCGCCACTTTATGTTAAGCAAAAGGAGGAAAAGTAAAAAGAAAAGTATAGGGGGAAAGAGGAAAAACCAAGGTGGCCAAGGGTTGAATGCGAACTGGCCAAGAAAGAGCCAAACAAAACTATAAGATTTTATGCTGGACGGGTCAAGGAAGTTGCAACTACGTTTTTTGGCCATTACTTTTGGGGTTTTTTTGTGAGTCTGCTGGCCGCCGCAACTGCGTATGTAAAATGATAGAAATCTTAATGGAATTTCGGTAAGCGAGCGTGTGTGTTTGTGTGTGTTGGCCAAAGCTAACGACCAAAAGCTGACCAACGCGATAAGCCAGCGAATCGGAAATTAAAGTTGAGGCTGCGTTTCTGGCCCGAAAATCGTTTTAAAACGCCAGATAGCCACCCCCTTGGGCGAGAAGTAAAGTAAACGGAAGAAGCATTAGCCCAACCACCCCCATTTTACCACCCCCTCCTCATTCCCCCACTACGAACCCCAACCCCCCGGTGACATTGATGAATTGCCGTTTAAATCAGCGCATCACTCATGTTTGCCCAGCGGCAAAGAGCGTCTCGACTTTCACAGCCTGCACATCCTTGACTGACTCCGTCGTCCCGGCTTAATGCCATTAACATTAACAGTTTTTCAACGCATTAGGGAAATTGTTTTTCTTCTGCGCCGCCGACATGCGTTCGAAACTTTAATTTCGTATTCAAAGGCCTTCGATTCGGCATAATGCAATGATTGCCAATTTGATTTATTGGCCGAGGGTATCGAGTCTTTAAAAGAATTAACTTGAGGAGCATAGAACTCTGTGACTGATGTATTTTTTATTTTAGTAGTCTTAGTTTGAAAAGTTTTTAATTGGGGTTTAAAACTTTTATGCAAAACTTCTTTAATTTTCCTGTAAAGCAAAGTTACATTACACAATTAAACCGAAAACCTTTCTGTTGTGTTCAGTGTTTTACTGACTTCAAATATTCCGGTATTATTGATTTTTAAAATATTAAAAATACGTTCAGTTTTAAATTTTCCACTTGAATATAAACAAGACAAGTTAAGTTTTAAATATTTTCCCTTCATAAAGATTTACCTAGCAAGACCTCCAATCGAAATCCGAACAAGACAGACCCCAAATAAGACCGCAATGATGGTGCTAATGAAGTGCATTGCATTCTGGAAAAAAGGGGGCGGGGAGCTTGGGGCCGGGTTAACTGACTGGCCAACCAAAAAACAAAAGGCAGACGGCGGCAGCAGCAACAATAATAACAGCAGCAACATTAAGGGCATTGCATGGCTGCCTTGTTGTTGCTGTTGGCTGATTGCCGTTGTTGCAAAATGGGATTGTTGTTGTTGTTGCTGTTGCTGCTGCTTGGTTGCCATAATTATGGCAGGCGCGCGAATATTTTGTTTACATTTGGCGCGCATTGCAGACAGGCAGCAACAACAACTGCAACAGCAATAGCAACCAAGGCAACGACAACGACAACTACAACTACAACGGCAGCAACACCAGCAAAAAAGTCTCATTTCGCGTGCTCCGCCTACTCGAGCAGTCTGCCACATGTGTGTGCCCATATGCCTTTGTGCCCCGGGTCCGTTCCCATTCTCGATTTCTCGATTTCCCCCAAAAAACCCTCCCTCGCCGGCAATTTTCTTCCGGCTGTCTGTTGTTGCTGTTCTGCTTTTGGGCCTACGTTTTGACGTTGCTGGTTGCTGTTGTTGTTGCTGTTGTTGTTGCTGTTGGTGTTGCTCTTGCTGTTGCTGTTGGTATTGCTGTTGTGCCGTTGCCGTTGCAACTTGCAACCCCCGAAAAAAAAGTGCGCAGAGCGCGAAATGTTAAGCCATGGCAAAATGGCCAAAGGAAGCCATAGAGGGAGGCGGTGGGGCGCGGAAGGGGGCCGATGGGCGGGGCAGGGGAATTAGGTGCAGTCGCGGTGAAAGAGTTGCATTGTTGTCAGCAGAGTCATGTTGCAACGGCGCTTAGTGTGTGGCATGCTTCAAGGTGTCGGATCAAGACGAAGCTGCAATGCGCTGCATGCGGAAAATATATTAAACTTATATTATTTAATTTTTTAATAATATTAGTTGCAGATATAATAAAAAGGTTTTTCTTAAAAAAAGTTTAGCTAGAAGAAGCTGCTTTTAAATGTTCAAAAGAGAATTTAAATATTCCTTTTTTATATTTATTACTTTTCAACTGCATAAGCTTTTCTTGCCTTGAGTAGTTTTTAATTAAATGCATCTTAAAAGCCTTTCTTTTAGTTATTAAAAGGCTGATCCCCCTTTAAGCCTCAAATCTCTTTGCTATTTATTTTCTTTTCAAGCACACAAAGTGTCAGTCGTAGGGCATCTTCACAACTTTATAACCTCCTCCCTCGACACGCTGCAAATTATTAAGATTTTTTTTCTTTCCTGGCCCCCACAAAGCAGGAGGATGGGGACAATATTGCGATTAGTGCCGGGCCTTCTAGCTCACCTTATCATCATTGGGGGCTTTCGAGGGGAAAACACTCATTTGGCTTTGTTTAGACTGGAAAAAAATCTTCATAATGGCCAACAGTCGCCTTTTCTTCGCTGTGCCAATGCAATTTTCACCGCTGCAATTTGCTGTTGCTGTTGCCGCTGTGGATGTTGCTGTTGTAGCTGCAGCAGTTGTTGCTGTTGCCGTTGGCTTGTTTCACAAATGGCGTCGCATTTGGCGTTGTTAATGGCGTCGGCATCGTGGTCTTCGCGTGTGTGAGTGTGTGTGTGTGGGGAGGACATGGACGGGGGGAGGAGGAGCAGGAAAGGGGGGCGGACTTCTTGGGCTTGTTGTGCCATGTGTCACGGCGTTGCAGTCATGTTGACATCATTGGGCCCGGGTCCAATGAAACGGGGGCCTTGGGCCTGCCACTTGTCAGCAGGGGGAGGTAGTAGCAGCAGTAGAAACCCCCTTCTCCCCCTCTTTCCCTGCCCCCAACCATTTCCCCACTTCCCACTTCCATCCGTGTGCGATGATTGTTTTAAATTCATTTGCCAAGTTTAAATAAACACACACAAAGTGAAAATATGCTGGCAAAAAATAAAAGTGGAGCGGGTTAAGTTGCCACAGGGACAGCGGCAGGCAGAAATCACAAAGAAAGAGATAGAGAAACAGCAACAGAAAGAGCAAGAGAATGGGAGCGAGAAAGAGATGGCGAACGACTGTGGGCTGGGGCGACAACTTAAAGGCGTGACAGTAATTAATTATTTTGTCGTATGGTAAATTAATAAACCAAATGGACTTTGTTTCTACTTGACATGTTATGCACTCTCTGTATATCTCTTCGCATGTGTCTGTGTGTGTGTGTGTGTGTGTGTGTGAGTGCGAAATGCATAATTGCTTTCATTAGTCTAATTGGTGCAACAAAGTGCAGCTGAAAGAAAAACGCTTAAGCAGACAGAGACAGCAGGTTGAAGAGGGGAAATGGGGAAAAAGGGACAGAGTGCTAAGCTCTTGGGAGCACACAACGCAGAGTAGGCGTTGAAAGAAAAGCTTTTGCAAATGAAATATATGCACTTCTGGTCCCCCAAGAGTCTGAAGAGTCAACGAACTTGACCTGCCAGATATAATAAGGATTATACTCTGTTGGGGAAAGTCTGTCATATTTATAGTGGGTGAGGAAATCTTTGTTCGTGTTGTAAGTTTCATAATTCAAACTGAAATATTCTTAGCTTTGCAATCCCTTTGCCTTTCCATCTTGTTGTTTTGTAAATATATTAAAACATATAAATAAGAAATACAATTTGAGATGCAGAAATCAAATTATATATATCGAATCTTATATAAAGTTTCTTAGATAATAATACAAAATCAATAGAAACTTCTCCAGCCTTGAAACTGACTTATATAAACTTCCCTGTAAAACAAGAATAAAATCTAAAATATATGCTTTTGCTCGAGTATTAGACTCTTAATTATTCTTGGCTCGCAACCCATTCCTTCCTCTATTGACAACCACAAAGTTGTCCCTGCTATTGCCAGATGTCTCGACTCGTGTTGGCCACAACATCAAATCAATAACCAGGCTCCACCTGCATCCGAAAACCACCTCCTTTCCGATCCCTTCCTATCCTTGCCTTGGGAGGAAGCCATCTCTGCAAATAGATGTGCGCCACAAAGTATGCTATAAATTCCGTTTTAATTTACCTGCATGTAATTTATGCCTTCTGACTTCTTGAACATTTTATATGGACGGGAAAACGAGGTGCAGCTAGCAGTTGGAATGGGGAACATTGCCATTGGCATGTCCATTGTATTTACATGCTTCCTACGTTTATTTGTCAATACGCAAATTTCATATAGTATTTGGTATCTGCTATTTGTTGTTCTTGTTCTTGTTCGAAGTGCGGGCGTGTCAGGCTGAAAGTCCTGGCCTCGACAGGACAGCAAACAACTATTGCTGGCGGGCAGGACTGCTCGGACTTGGACAAGACAACACGTAAAATTTATTAAACACAAACAATAAGGCAAATGCATTTAAGGAGCTCCAAGCGAGCACACAGAGAGCCAAGCCTTCTGCAGGACAACAACGGCAACTAAATTGCATTACAGACATTTGCCAGGACATGCCGATACACACACACACACACACATACACATTCGTACACAAAGACGAAGACAAGGATGTGCAGCGTTGCACATTTCGATTCGAATGACCCCGCCTTATGTAACCCCGGATGTAGATGTGGATTCCCCAGTTTGGGTGACAGTTCATATATATTTTTGGGGGTCGCCGTAAATTCCCAAACAATTTCTTGGCCAGCCAGTCCCCCAGTCCACCAGAAGCAAATTGCATTTGCCGGCGGATTCGGGACTCCCTTTGGAATCACAATTATCGACGGGACGACGACGGGTGACGAGTGCCGAGTGCCGAGAAGCTGAAGGATCCGCCCACAGCTGCCGGAAACGCTGGCGGCCAGTCGAGGGTTAAAACACAAAGGCTCCTTCTCCGTTCGCCGAGCACGCGCACAAGGATATCCCGATTTTTCGAGGGCGAAACAAAGCCAAATTCGTTTGACAGCTACTTCCGCCGAAGAGAGATCCTTAGAAATAATTTTTTGACAGCCGCCAGGTGACTGGTTAAACCCCTTTTTTACCTTTTCTGCACTGAGGAAATTATGTTAACTACCTTTTAATGGGAATTATATTTAAAGTTCTCACTCTTTCCTAATCATATAATATCTGAAACAATTTTTTATTGTGTAGTTGCTAGCCCAGCATTAATAAAGTGAATTGAGCTGTGCGATCGAAATCGTTGAATCAACAAAAAGTGCACAACAACTAGGCAAATAAAACAAATTGTAATAAGCGCCAGGCCAGTGCAGCGATTAGATTAGCTGCTGGGCAGTCAGTCCTAAGGGGGTTAAGGGGATCCTAGGGGGCGGGGCGGAGCGGCAGTCCAGGGGGAGTGGCACTTTCACTTTAGTCGAACTATTTACCCACTGACGCCACTGTGTCGGCGGTTCGACTGCAAGATTTATGGGAAGTGGACTACTCGGTGGCATTTGTTTGCCCATTTGGCGCTAGACACGCGTTCCCAATGCAGCAAACGCCTCCCTTTCAGCCCCGCCCCCTTTCCACTTCACCTCCTCCTTCCCCTTGAACCCACTGAGGTAGCGGCAATTGAGGACACTTTGAGTGGCACTACTGATAAGAAGGAGGCACCGCATGCGGCCCTCTGATAAAACTAAAACACCCGAAAACGCTGCGTTTCAAGTGCAGTCTGACAGGTTCCCATTCGGTTTTATTGCGTTCATGATTGATCGATTGTTTGGCCCGTTGGCTAGATAGATTGTAAATTTGGGCAGTGCAACAGCTCTCCCAACTCCCGAAATCGTGTTCGATATAACAAGGTTTTAGGGTTGGGGTTACAGTTTTTAATTAAATTAAATTCAAGCGATTTCAAGGTGTAACGAGAATGTTAAAAATGTTGATGGGTTTGTTTACCCTTTAACAAGCTCTTATAATATGATTACAATGTTCATTAGACCGATAAGAATTTAGGTGTTATTTTGGAATATGTAAATTTTTCACTAATATATTTAAGACCCCTCAAATTTGTATTTCAAAAACACAATTCCCTCTTAATTCCAGCATCCCTACCCATCCGAGGACCAGAAGAAACAATTGGCCCAGGACACCGGCCTAACGATACTGCAAGTGAATAATTGGTGAGTATATCCGGCGAGATCTGATCGGATCGGCTCAGATAGCGTTTCAAACACAACGTCATTATGCGTTAACCGATGCCCTGGGTTGGCCATTACTCACACGCTTTATGCACCAACGTGGCCGTAAGACTAAACCCGAAACCAAAACCAGAGCACACACGAGAAAATAACATAAGACTATCTGGGCAAAACAAATTTATAAGGCAGCCCACGCCGAGGAAATAGAACCTGCCACCGGCCGACTCGAAGCGAGAGGTGAAAAGAATGTGGCAAACAAAATTATGGGCCTTGTTAAGAGGGGGGACACAAACTGGAAATCCTAGAGATCCCGAAGTGCATTAGGCTGGGGAGACAGGACCAGGAAAGCAGAGACGGCAACTTCATCAAATTTTGCACATTATGCGACAGCCTGCAGAACTTGACACTCGGCAAGACGGGAAACTGCAGAGCTGCAAGTTGCAAGCTGAGAACTGAGAACTGAAAACTGCAAATAGCAAACAGAAAACAGCTAGCCAGCTAGCAAGATGGGAAAAATAGAGGATGGAGATGGAAAAGCTTGGGAGCAAGTTAAAAGCGCTGCTGAATCTTTTATGCAGCCCGGGACGAGGTGGCTTGGCCTGCGGAATGCTTTTAAGCTGCGACAGGCCACAATAAAATCCGGCGAGAAATGTGTGAGAGCTCGGCCGCCTGGCAGGCACTCAGCTCAATTAAATTGAATTTCGCGCTCGCCGGAGCACACTGCAAATTAACAAATAGTAGCCGAAGGACCCTGCCCTTCCGATTCGCTTAGGCACGCAATGCTGCGTAGAAAGTCCGGGGAAAGCAGGGAAAGGTCCTGGGGAAAATCAGGGGGCGGAGGGGAGGAAAAAGGAGCAGGGAAAAGAAAGAAAAACCTTGGCAGAAAATAGCAAAATAAAATGTTGACACTTTTGGTTATTTATGGGCAGGCGGGCAACACCTTTTGCCTCAGCAGAAGGACACTAATCCTGGGGGAATAGCCCCCTGCAGGACTAAAGGACTATCTCTCTAAATGTGTATTTATTTTGCGCAATTTGAGGCGGGAAGAAAGTCGGCATAAGAAGCCATTCAAATGACCAGGAGATTCTGGAGAAGTCCATTAACACCCAATAAGATGGCCAGACAGCAGAAGTAACTTTCGTAATCGAAAAAGTTTCGCTTTTTTTTCTGCTCCCCGCTGCCAAGCAAGTTTTAAATATTAACGCTTAGTTACAGCTGCAGAAAGAAAAGTTATAATTATGGCGTAAGTACATAAATAACTCGGCAAATGTTTGCCAACTTCTGTGAGTTATCCCTCCCGATTTGAAGCCATATATAGCTGTAGCTTTAGGTATTCTTTTCCTCATCTGCAATCGTTCCAATCAAGTGCGAGGCCAGCGGGCAAATCGATTTGCAGCTTACAAGCCGCACATCTCTCGGATCCTCGGCTCCTGCATCTTGAAATGCGAAAAGAAGCGAAATATCTATATGGCCAAACGGAACTCAATTCCATTTTGTCGTTTTGATAAACGATTTCAGGGCGTTGCAACAATTTCCGCCCCAAAATGAGATGAAATCAGGGGCAGATCGCAAACGAACTGCAAATTGAAAAGTCAAAGGGGCGAGCGGTGAAATGTTCCCTTTTTCAATCCGTTTGAGGAGGAGTTCCCAAGTGCATTAACCTCTTCGCTAACTCGGTTTTGGGCTAATGCGAGTAGCTGTATCCATTGCCGTTCTTTCATCTGTAGCTGTGCACTTGAGAAAAAATTTTAAAAATATTTGCAATCCCTTTTCTTAAATCAGTTAGCTGACAAATCAATAAATTAACAAAAAGAAGGGGATAAGTTCTCATGTATGTATATGCAGTTTAAATTAAAGTACGTTGCAATTATTTACTCAGGCATATCTTTAATAGTTTTTTATCAGTGCACCTGTAACTGATTCCTCTGATGTTTTTCCTTTTCCCTGTTTGGCTTTTTGCCGTGTGGTTTCGTTGTTTGGCAGATATATATATTTTTTTCACCGAGGCCGTGTCAAAGCTTGCGGGTAACATCGTCTTGGCCAAGTGACTGTCACTCCGCCGGCGGCTTTCTGCTTTAATCATTTTGCTCTTTTTGCGCTTTTTGTGTCGCCACTGATCCTGCGGATCAACGGGCAACTGCTTATTATTTCTTATTGCATTTATTAAACGACAATCATAACCAAAGTCGGCGCGGCCCATTGATCTGGCTGGTTGGAGGGCAGCAAAAAGTGTGACTCTGGCGGAGATTTGCTTTGGTTTATGGCTAAGTTGGGCACATAAAGCAGCGCGCTACCGTCCAAATCCGGGCCAATTCATGCATAATTCATGGCTCCTTTTCGGTTGTGTGTGTTTAATTAGGGACTGCCACTAAAACGATATCTCCTTGTGTGCTTACAGGTTCATCAATGCGCGGCGAAGAATCGTCCAGCCGATGATCGATCAATCGAATCGTGCAGGTAACTATCGTTCTTACTTATAAGAATCTTAAAACAAACAAAAAATAACCATAACTATGAAATGGCGCTGATCTAAGAATTAAGTGCGGTGAACCGAGAGGTTTGCCGTGCTTACTTTTGCAAAATATCCACTCGAACGCAATTTCTAATTATGTGCATTTTTTCTCTTTTTCCCGCTTTGTTCTCTGGGCGACTTACCAACAGTCTATACACCGCATCCAGGTCCCTCCGGTTATGGCCACGACGCCATGGGCTACATGATGGACAGCCAGGCGCATATGATGCACCGTCCGCCCGGAGATCCGGGCTTCCACCAGGGCTATCCGCACTACCCGCCCGCCGAGTACTACGGCCAGCACTTGTAATCCTCGTAATCCGGAATCCCGCAATCCCGGATACCCGCCAGCGGAGCCGGAGACCCGGAAACAGAGAGCTCTCCGGAAGCGATCAAGCCAAAATCATAGCTTAAATTTTACCACCCACTGGAGATGATGAAGAAGAAGAAGCAGAGGAGCTGTAACAAAAACAAAAAACAGAAAACTAAAAAAAAAAAAAAACAAATGGAGCTGGAGCAGTCCGATCCGATCCCAAAACTAGCATACCGCGTGGCAATATCAGTCAAGTAAAAATAGCAAACAAAAAACAACAACAACAAGCAAAGAACAACCGTAGTGAAATCTATAAAAATGATATTAGCTAAGCAAAAACAACAACAACAGCAGCAGAACCCTGATGAAGAAGAAGAGGAGGAACAACAACAACAAAAAACAGCACCAACTAAAACAAACCACATCAAAAAGAAAAGCAGAAATTTTAAAGAAACTATTTGTGTATACCTTAAACATAAATAACAAAAGCAGAAAAAAGGGAAAATAAAAACAAGAAAAAGATATTTATGCATAAACAAAAATGAAACGCTTAGCTATAAGTTAAATAAACAAAATAAAACCAGAACTCACACCTACACACACCCCCAAAAACACACACACACACACTCTAAAAACAACAACAATTTGAAATGCAAATTTTTATGTTCGAAGCTGCAGAATGCAAAATACACAACATTTTTAAAGCATGAATTTAGGCGCAGTCCAGAAAGAAAACAAAATGGAAAACTGAAAACTGAAAAATGAAAACACACACAAAATTTAAACGACATTTCGTTCAGAATTGTTATAGATTTTAGTTTGAATTTAGAAAATGCCCTGCCCCACCAGAAAATCAAGAAAAACAAACAGCAGCACGAAATTTAATAGAGTTTGAATATAATTTGCGGAATCGAAGGAGAATTCTTTGCTAGTTCTTAGTTTCATTTTAGTTATGTAACAAGTCAGTTGTAGTAACGCTTTGTTTTCTATACCTTTACGCATATGTATATGTACATACAAAACAAATCGATAACGAACTATAGATACACCCGTACATCTATGTTTAGGCGATAGAACCCTACTATATATCCTACGTTTAGACGATTAATTTAAATAAATTGAATTGTTTTCTAATTTTACGCCTTGCAACACTTAAGTAAAAACGAAATGGAATTTAATTTTTACAAAAAGAAAGGAAGATTGACGACGAGGGAACACTATGATTTGAATGGATTTGAATTTGTTTTAAAGTTTTTATCGTGTGTGGATCTTGTAGTATTATTTTCCAACTGAAGCACACGGACCGATTTGAATATATATGTATATGTATGGATTTTATGCGAGATACAAACAATACGATACAAATAATGGCATAGGCATATACATAACTCTGAATATGTATACGTAATATTAATAATAAATTATGCTTACGTTTAAACTGTACTTTTATTTATGTATTCTAATTTGTATGCGTTAATCCTTAGTTAACTATTATTATTATTACATTTACTTAATTAATGATTTAAATTTAACTAATTCAAAACACTGAGCAAGAGGATAGAATTGTACGAGAGATGATTTATTGATGAAAACAAAAATGCATATATGAGAAAATATTTGAAAAAATAATCTTTATTCGTGTTTTTATTTGATTTTGGTTTGGCTTTGATTTTTCCTTACAGCGGGGCAAGGACTTTTTATTTTTTGAGGGGATACACACTCCAAGAGCTTTATCTCCTCTGCCAGGATATTTTGATTTTTTACTCCTGTTGGATCTTTTAGCAGACATGCGTCACATGCTAAGGAACTGAATTGAATTTACATTGCTTGTGAATCTGATTAATCTTAAATGGTAACGAATATACGTAATTGCAGAGGGCAACAAATCGAACTTTAAGTATTTAGTTTGGAATTTATTAACTATAAATAGATTGAAGGTGTGGAAAGCAAGTACCTATTTTAAAAATACAAACGCGAAGCAAGATGGATTTTTTAGCCGGCTCTTTGAAGGGAACTTGAGCTTCTTTTGCATGGGAAACCATAATTTCATTGGCAAACACACTTAGGCAAACTCATCTAACTACTTACCGACTACACTCGAAACAATCACTCAAATGTATACGAACTTCTCTAAGAATCCCCAAGAATGAAAACCTTATGCGAATTTTTTGCACCTAACAAGCGAAGCGATAAATTTATTTACAAAATTTGCTAAACTGCAAAAGCTGTAATTGCGAAATGAAATTGAAATCGAATTTGAACGCAAATCGAAACATTTTCACAATTATACAACAGAACTATACGATATACGAGTACGAGTACGCATCGCTAGTAATTTATTAGACTATATATAAAGTAGTTAAATAATCGACACAACAATTGACTTGAGAAACGTTTAAACGCAAATTGTACAGAACGCCTTAAATGAGAAACCAAAGTGGAAGCATTGAATGAATGAATGATGTATACGAGTCTATATACAGAACATAAACTATACCTAGTTATACCTAATTAAATTTTAATAAATCTTGAATAGTATATATCTCTATATCATACACATTATGGCTTAAGAAAAGGGAACCAAATGCAGTCGAATCGGATGGCGGCGAGTGATACCTCACAGAATTCCCGAAAGTTTTCAAGTATTTTGTACGAGCTTCTTTTATATGCCCCTTCAAAATTCGATTGTCGGGATATCCCATATCTGCCCAAAGTATCTGGGAGATTTGCTCGCTGTTTTCTGGAACGACAAGAGCTTGTAAATTAAATCAGTACGATTTATTTGAGGGGACAAGGCAATATGTGTGCGTATCGGATCGGTGTGGATAGTACCCACAATAATCCAAAAAAGAGTTATACGATTCTATATGCATTGTACATGGACGAAACCAGATCGGAGGCTTTTTACGTTTGAAATCATTTTCGTGTCAGAATTTAAATTAAAATGTGATTTTTCTCGAAACTTTAATGTATACGCCGTAAATATTATGAATATGATTATTAAGTGCTGCAGCAACATTATTATTACCATTATGATTATTACGATTGATAATACGATTATAAATTTACATATTCGAGTGTAATGTATGTAATAAATATTGTACATTTTTGATAAATTCCCCCTAGAGTACACTGTAAATATAGCGCAACATTTGCATAGTTCACCCACACTTAAGTACATTACACTAATTATAGAGCTAAGTCTACACTAATCTAAAGCTAGATCCTAGCGCTAAATGGTAAGGGACTAACGGAGGCGAAATGCAACCCTGAGCATAGACTAAAGTGCACCAGAAAACCAAAAAACAAAATGAGAAGACAGAAGAACAATTTATACAACTTACCCACGCGACAGCATCAAGTAAATCCAAAAGAATGAAAGAGGTAGAAATAGACAAAGACACACTGGCGAGAAAGAGAAAGAGAGAGCGAGCGAGCGAGCAAGAGATAGCCAGCACATGAGTTAGAAAGGGAGAGCTAACTCAGTAGTTGCGAAATCCAGTAATTAAATCAATAAAACAAAAGAAAAACTCTAAGAAGTAAAAACTATAAATATATTTATATGGAGAATTGAATTAACTAAATGTTTGTGCGTGTAAAAATTAACTTTAACTAAATTGCTAGACTTAAAGGCCAGAATGAATTAAATATAAATATATTGAAAGGAACAGTATCATTAAATTAATTAACTAATTGAAGCTTCTATGTAAAGAACTAAAAACCAATTAACGAATTCCTGAACTTGTTGGTGCCACAAATCGCAAGATGTACGGCGTTGCAACAACAAGGGCGAACCAGAATACGAGGAAATATTGAACATAATTTTCAATTGTAATAAATTATGAAATAAAAGATTATGAAAACCAAACGAGACGACGGTCTTTTAAATTGGCGTGCGATGTGTGCACATGGTAACGGGTTCACGGCTTGACCTCTGACCAAAAACTCTGCCCACCATGGGAATGGGAAATCCTGACCGTCCTGCGTCCTGACAACTGACGTGGGTCCGCTCGCAATTTGCCAGCTGTCAGTTGGCCCTCGAACCCGCACTGGAACTCATACCCAAAACCCCATCCCAGTCCCAAGCCGAAACTCCTTCCCCAACTGACCCTGCTTTCGACCCGCTCTTGACCGTTGCGTGCCCCGTCCAGTGGCCAGTGTCCAACGGCCAGTATATATGCCACACATTATATCTCCGGCGCTCTCTCGACCAATATAATTGAACTATAATTGCCCCGAAATGTTCGTGCGGAGCACGCTTCATCTGCTCGACTTCCGCCCGGCTTTCGTGATCGTTTAGACCCGGCATTAGTGGGTCCAAGTCCTTAGCTGGTGTGAACTGAATGCACTTCTGCTGCTCTACTGGTACACTGAGAGAAAAAAAATCAATTCTGGAGAAATAAAATTGATTATAAAGGCTTGCAAGGTAAGAATACATACAAACTTTCCTTCGCATGTAAGGTGTTGTTTCTTAGATATTAGAAGTAGATACAGATATTGTTTAGTGAAAGAAATCATATTTCGAAACTGATAGAACTCGTTACAACTTATCTTACACCTCAGTTTGAAAGCATAATTTTTTCTCTAAGTGCTGCTCCAAATACCAGGGTACTCTCCACTTCATTGGGTTGTTATTTTTTGGCAGGCGCTGCTAATGCCAATCGAGTGGCACCCGACAACAGCTGCGTGGATTTCCACGCCACCGCCGAGTGGCTGGCCAAGAAATTCAATTAATATTAATTAGCCAAGGTGTCGAGCTGGTGGCTCTCCCACTGGATCTCCGGGTCTCACGCTGTTGCTCCTCGCTGGCCAACACACACACAACCACACACACGCCGCTATTCACGCACTATTTCGGCCAAAAGCAGACAGACAGACAGATACTTACACGAACACAGATAAATGGAGTTTTAATCATTTTCCAAGTGTGAAAATTAGTTGCGTTTAAGTTGCCTATAATTAGTGGGCAGAAACCCCCAGTTTTGTCCGTCGGCGGCTGTAATTACTTTTACGAGCTGTTTACAGCTGCTCCAAGTGGTCATTATGTGGTGGTGGCGTATAAAAATGTTCCGTTGTCAATTTATGCAAATTTTCTTATTTCCCCGAACCCCTATACCTCCTCAAAAAAGGGACACAAAAAGTTTCCGTTGTGTCCACCTACACAAAGTTCCTTAAATTGCCTGCACAATTGCAGAGGACGACATCCCGGGATTCCCGCCCTGCGGC